CTCCAAAATGAGCGTACACATGGGTCAGAGCTGTGAGGCATCGAACATTTTCACGTCAAGTTTGGATTTTATAAATCACAACCTTGGTGTGAAAAGTGACGTACGCAAGTTTCTGGGCTCAAATTGTGCATACTCCAGTTTTATAAATCTGACCCCAGGGCCTGTTGTAGGTACCTCAACAACAGTCTGTAGGACTGCCCTACAGGCCTGGATTAGATGTCAACACTCAATCCTCTGGAAGGAGCTTTCGGACTGTAGACTGGCACGGGAACTGATTAACGGCCCAAATCTAAGGTTTGGGAAAGCTCTTACGTATCTCCCTGACAAGGAAAACTCTAAGTACACTGGTTGGAGTCCTAACAGTTTGCTCAACCGCCACAAAATGGTGATGGGACTCCATGACAATGGTCTGTGTGATTCCTGTGGCATTGAACTACAGACCTCTTTGCACTACTTAGACCACTGCCTGGCTCTGAGTGGTCAAAGGAAAAAAATTCTTGGGGACCCYTTTATGGACCCTGAGAAGCTCAGAACACTGAGTGTTTCTAACCTTGTGTCCTTCATCCGAGGGACGAGAAGGTTTGAATAAAGACCAGTGACTTTTTGGGGAGAGCAGTGGGCCCACTTTGGAGGCCTCCTCTCATATGGGTTCTTTATCCATCCCCTCTCACCATACCATAACCAACAGGTGCAACTGACGCCTCCGGTATGGAATGTTCTCAGTTGTGGAAAGTTTTAAAAAGCAGAGTTTAAAAAGGATGTTCTTCTGCTGATGTAAAGTTTGCTGATGTGAGTTATGATTAGTGTTTTCCCATTTTCAAAAGCAATGTGATAAAAGCCTAGTAAACTGTTAGGAGAAGTATGCCTGTATTAAGACTAGAATTATAAAGACTACAGTGGGCTCTGTTCAGGCCATGTTTCTCCTCGAGCCCCAACAGGTTCTTAAGCCATTTGCCCCTAAACTCTGAACACAGTGGGCCTTCTGAGCCCTTCAGAAAGGCCCACAAGTTAAATATTATTCCACCTAGCATACCTCCAAGTTTTCACATTTCTTGTTCAAACACTGCAGAGTTTCGCTTGGATGCTAGTTAGCTGGTTTATGTTTATTAGCTGGGCTTTCAAGCTCACAAATGGTTTAATTTAGCCAAGCAATGTTTTCTTCTAGTAGTTTAATAACTGAGAGTACTGTACAGAATGCCTTCCATCTCACAGGTAGTTAAAGAACCAGCTGAGAGTATGATGTAAGAAGCTAATATTTGAGAGCCTATGGCATAGGATATCATGATCAGCAGTGGTGCCCAATCCTGGTCCTCCAGGGCCATTATCCTGCATGTTTTAGTTTTCCCTGCCCTGCAGCATCTCTTCAGGTTTCGCCTGTTAATTATTTAGTTTCAATCAGGTGTGTCAGAACAAAGAAACTAAAACACAGGATGGTGGCATGTTTTTTAATCTTCTATCTTCCTTTTAGCTCTTTTTTGTTTTTAGCTATCTTTTTAATACATCTGTTTGTAACTAGTGATCTGCTTCTTTTAGTTTCTTCAGCAAATTTCAGCTGTTGTTCATCACTCATCATTGCTTTTATCCTTCAGGTCACAGATACAAAGACCCGACGTGGAACCCGCAAAGGTAGCACCTCCTCCTCTTCATCCTCTTCTTCCTCAGCCCCCTCGGACCCCCTCAGCTCCATGCTGGATGGGACCGACCCTCTGTCCATGTTTGCTGCTGCCTCAGCCACAGAGACCTCAGCGATGCCCCACACCAGCTCCACCGGGGTCAGTTAACCCTGCAGCTCAGGGGCTTCTGTATCTGAAGAAAAGGAACATGTTCTGAAGGTGACGATGAAAAGAAATCTTGTGCTTCCAGGAGCCTGGCAGGAAGAAAAGGGAGAAGCAAGACGAGGCAGTGGGATCAGATTTTGAGCCGTGGTCATCAAAGCGAGGAGAAATCCTGGCCAGGTTTACTACAACTGAGAAACTCTCCATTGTGAGTTCACTTTTTCTGGTTTTCATTGACAGAACTCTGTTCCTAACTCATAATCAAAGCAGCTGAACAGTGACTAAAATGAGCTGATCAGTTTTAAATATACGTATGTGTTGGTAAAGTGTTTGCTTGATCAAAACTTGCTATCATTTGTGTCATGACAATCAATAATTCAAACTCTTCTGTTTTCCAGAATCTGTTTATGGGCTCGGACAGGGGTAAGATTGTTTCTTTCTCTCATCGTAACAAATGGATTTTAAATGGTCATCTTTTACCAAATATAAAGTTTTTTAAAAGTCCACAAAACCAAACATTCACAACTGTTTCTTTATGCAAAGTGCGAACTAAGAAATATTTTTAAGAAAAGGAATAGCCGTTTTTAAAGCCTGGAGTTTTGGAAAGAGCAGAGAAGTTGTGAACTGGGAGGCATAAAGTGGGTCATTAGGTTGATAAGTACTAGGACCCATTTTTTATTTTGTAATTTAATTTAACCTTTATTTATCTAGTTAAACTGTTTGAGACGTTTTACTCAAAGACTGACCTGACCAACCTGACTGCTGTCTGTGCCACACATGTACAGTCTACCACATTTTATTGTTAGTTTTGTTTACATTTGTGGACCTCTTTAGCTGTAGATCCACTGGGATCTCCTCAGAAGTTAAGGATAAGGTGACGTGTTGCACACTGTCCAACAGCGCTGGTTAAGCAATAGAAAAATGTTTGAAAAGGTCTTGACACCTTGTGAGGGCTAGTTCTTTTTCATTTTTATATCAAATTGTCTTCTCATTCTTCATTAAAGGAATCCCTGATTAGTTGTAATATTAGACTTTATTTAATAAATATATATTTTAACTGTAAAATAAAGACTGTAAAAATACTGTAGGCTGTTTAGTTTCTATCATTTTTAAACTAAAAGTTTAAAAATATATTTTAACACGGACGGGGCAATTTTATTTCTACACAAAGCATTCTGGGTAAATGATGACGTGGATAGGTCCTCGGTACGAGGCTGCTAGCGAGCTATATCCACCCTGAAGGTTAATCTTGGACAATATCTGATGATCGACTCTTTTAAATGAAACCAGAGAGCGTTGACAGAGAGGAGAAGGTAGAAATGACTCAGCCTGGAACTGAAAATATGGATGGAGGACAACAGAGCTGCCTCATGGAAGAACAACCTCAGATTAGCCTGTTAGCTTTAGCGTTAGCCCAATGCTATCATCATATATATATGTATTAGCTCAGTGCTACACATTTTCCTCTCGTCACTGAGGTCCTCCATCCACATGACAGAGAGGGCAACACAAAAATGACTCAGCTGTAACTGAAAATATGGATGGAGGACCTCAGTTTAGCTTGTTTGTCGCACTAGCGCCGAATTAATACATTGTTACTCTAAAGTTTAGAGTTACAATTTCTCAGTTTTGTCTGAGAGTTAACGAACCTTTGGTGTCATCACCAGGAAAAGCTCCTAATCCAGGATCGTCTGCTGTTTCTGAAAAAGTTCGCACTCGCCTGGAGGAGCTGGATGATTTGGAGGAGGTAGGTTGGTCTGCTCACAGCTTGTGACAGTTTCACAGTTCACCTCTGTGTTAACTGTTCACTGGAAGTTTTCTCCAGATCATTTGTGTCTGCTCTAAGTTTTTAGTGTCCGTTCCATATCCTTGTATCTTCCATCGTGTTTACAGACAGAGTTGACACGAAGCAGGCTTCTTGTTTGGACCTTGTTGTTTGTGTGTGTGCTTAGGGCTCCCAGAGAGAGCTGCTGAACCTCTCCCAGCAGGATTACGCCAACCGCATCGAGGAGCTCAACCAGTCCCTGAAGGAAGCTTGGGCCTCCGATCAGAAGGTCAAAGCCCTGAAAATAGTCATCCAGGTAAAATCTCATCTAGGTAGTGATGATGCTCTTTTCTTTAAGAGTGTCAGCTCTGATTTGATCCATGTTCCAGTGCTCCAAGCTTTTGTCCGACACCTCTGTGATCCAGTTCTACCCCAGCAAGTTTGTCCTCATCACTGACATCCTGGACACCTTTGGTGCGTTTCCTTTCCCTCTCATCCACCACCGTGAAACAAAACAAGTCTTTCTGACATCTTTGTTGTTTACAGGTCGTCTGGTATATGACAGGATCTGGACCATGTGTTCAGACACCAGACCCCTGCCAGGTGAGAAACCCTTAACTTGTTCTGTTATCTGTACCTGCTGTGAGCATGCTGAAGGTGGTATCTCTGGTTCTTTGAAAACACACTGAGGTGTTTCACTATAGGAAACGCTCCTGCGTGACCATTTAGGAAGGTCCAATGACATTACGTCTGTCTAAGACAGACGGGTTGTGCCATGCTCAGGGCTCCACCCCATCATACCATGGTCAACCGACCACCTCAGTCTAGGATGGTTTCTCTCCATGTCCATGCAAGATGCAAAGTGTTGGTGGAACTCCTCATTTTGTTAACAAAGAACCAGGGTTACGTTAAGTAACCTAAGTTACTTAACTTAAGTTAAATAACTTCTGTATTGTATGAAAGCCCCAAAGCCAACAGATTCTCAGAACCTCTATCAAGAAGGCTGTGAGGTTCAAAGATCCAGTATATTTATGGACAGCTGAGCCACATCCAGTCTGTAAAAATGCACAAATGTGTGTTGTGGCGCAGCTACAGTGGTTTGCAAAAGTATTCATACCCCTTGAACTTTTCCATATTTTGTCACATTACAACCACAAACATGAATATATTTCACTGG